ACCTCTTTTAAAAAGTTCCAAAAATGTGACTAAAAAAGAGTAAGGAGATTAGTTTACCCCTATTAAACTAACTGACCCTCTGCAGTGACTTCCGTCCAGTGACCAAACGATACAGTGACTTCCGTCCAGTGACCAAAACGACACAATGATTTCCATCCAGAGACCAAAAAATACAGTGACTTAGGGCCCAGTGACCAAAGGACACTTACTCTGGTCCAGTATATTAACTGCGTTGATTAAGATTAGTCCCTGCATAGTGACTAACCATTTACACTTACTTGGTCTAATAATGACCACTGGCGGCCACCTCCGGCGACCACCACCTCCGACGATCGGCGGCGACTACCACCTTAGGCCACCACAAGCCCCTTTTGAAACCGCCACCTCGAAACAAGTTGCCCCTGCCTAGTAACAGCCTGCCTCCCCAACATCACCATTTCCCGACGGTGACCGCCGCCAACCCTCTCCCGGCGGCGACAGCCGCGACTCCTCGCCCGCTAGCCCCCCAACCTGCAATCCAGCAGCCCCCAGCCCGCTCTCCAGCAATCTCCCTAGCCAATTCCCCTTCGCATGCGGTGCAGATCCCTTCCAAGCCATAGCCTACCCCTCTCAAGATCTCAACCTCCCCAACCGCCAGACTCTACCCCAAAACCCTAGCCTCCACCCAACATTCACCTCACCATCGCACCATCGCGTTCAATCGGAATCCTAGCCATCGATCTGAAACCCTAGTCGCGAGTTCCATATGAGGCGATGTTTGTTGGGGCGGCGGAGTGGGAGATGGCTGGCGGCTCCATGGGACAGGGGAGGCAGACGCGTAAACTGTGGCGGAGTTTGAAAGAGGACGGCGACGTTGTACGACAGTGGAGGGAGGTGACGTACGCTGGGCGGCAGCGGTGGTTTCTTGTGTCGCCAAGGCCTCGTCTTCCTCATGCGGAGGATTTGAAATCAATTGCAAAGGATCTGCCAGATGCAAGGTTTCAATATTCATTGCAGGGGTAATTTAGTCTTTCAATTGTATTTTTATCACTTTTCTGTCCACCAAACACCCGCATGTATTATATTGGTCATTCTTTCTTATATTAATCTCCTACTTAGATAAACTCAATACCTAGTATAAATGATGTTTATTTGTGACAGAAACAAAAGTTTAGATGTTGGGAGTATTCACTTTAATATTTTATTTTGTTGTTATAATTTATGATCATGTCTTATTTTATATGTAAAGTGTTAAAACTAGTAATGAGTTGTTGTAGTTAATTTAATCTTGGACATGAGTTGAATTAAAGAATATGGGTTGACCTTATTTGACTGAAAATTAGGAGTTTAACTAATTTTATGGACTAGTTGTTTAAAATGATTAATTTGATTACTTAATAGATTTGGTCATTTCAATAATTAAATTGTGGAAGATTATTTATAACTTATCTATGAGATTATAAATAGTTTAAGCCAAACATATTGAGCACATTAATGAAACCTAGAGATAGGATAAATTAATGGATAGAATTTAATCTTTGTCTATGAAGAATAAATTCAATTGTTTAATATGAGAAATATAATTAATTAATGAAGTTGACCATTTTGTTAGCTAAAATGCGGAAAGTTATATCTATCTTCTCTATGAGATTAGAAAATAATTTAGGCCAACCAATTTAAACACATTCATGAAGCCTAGAAATAGGATAAATTAGTGAAAGTAACTTAAATCTTGTCAATGAGAAAAGAAATTACTAGTCCAATCTTTAGTTACTCCTAATTTTTAGGTCCAAGCTAAAAGGATGTACCCATATTTTATAATTCAATTCATTGCCCTTCTTTGATCAATCCATTTAGAGTTTAATATTATGTTTTTCATTTAGTTTATTTTTGAGCCATTATTAGTATTTTGCATAATTTAATTTACTTTCTTTTTCAAAAGTTAGTTTAGAAAATCAATCAAAAGTTTTAATTTGGAAAGCTTCCAATAATTTGCGATAATCTGTGACTGGACTTAAAATCAAGAATCTCCTCCGCCATTCCTCAAGAGACACGATACTCCGGGAAAACCGAAAGATTAGACTCCGTTTTACTACAACGCCGCGTAAGCGGTAATCAAATGGCACGGTGAAATCTTGATTTTGATTTTAGCATGGGTGAATTCAAGTTAGGGAGACTTTCTATTTCTTTTTTGTTTTGTTCTCACGTGTTTGCTTGAGATTTCCTCATGGATTACTCAAGTGAACACTTTCATTCTCAACCATCATATCACTATCCATACTATGAACAACAAAATTTTCAAAATAATCAAAATGAAGGATACTATGAGCAAAGTTATGAGGATAACAATCAATGGTACGAAAATCCACCTTTGGGGTATGAAGATTACTAATTTCAAGATAATTATTTCCACCAAGGGCAAAACTTTGAAGGCTGTGATGTTTTTTCCTATCAATGTAATTATCATGATGTTTTTAATTATCATGAAAATTACCACGAAAGGCTAGAAAACCATTACACCAGCACAAACCGAGTACTCTTACGAGAATGACTCTGGAATTTCACCTTATCCTCAACACGAGCTCGAAAAATTAAAATCATCCTTACTCGATTGTGTGGAAGACTTAAAAAAGGCAAGGATTGAACTAGCATCTCGTGACGAGAGTCTCGAGAAATTGTTTGAACAAATAATTTATAACAATGAACACAAATTTCAAGAAGAGACATACGAGGAAGGTGCTAAATCCGAGGAGGCTGCGGTAACTATGGGCAAGATGGTTGAAACTCTTTTCACCCCTATTTCTTTTGAGCCTCTCATTGCTACTGAGTTAGAGCCTATCCTCGTAGAAATTAGTCCTGAAGAGCCTAATCTGAAAGTGCTTACTGAGGTTGATGAAGAGACCATAGACGAGGAAATACTTTGTGACACCGACTCTACCCTACCATCTATGGATGACCTCTCACTCAAAGAGTCCTTGAAAGATAGCCTTGATGAAGATGTTGATCCTACACGAGCCCAAGTGCCTGATCAAGTAGTTTATGAAACATGTGATGTTGAGGAAACATTGTCTGATGATGTCTTCTTTGACTCTCTACTCAATGATGATGAACATAGTTGTGCTAGGCAAGGATCTGTTTGCCTAGATGGTATTTGTGGGGGTAGTGAGTTAGAAAGTTGGGATGCATTCTTAGAGAGTGATACAAAGTCTAAACCTTGTGATTTTCATGTTGAGGGCATAGATGAAGAAGAGAAAACACATCAAGAGGAGTATGAAATTTCTAGTCAGGTTACTTTTACCTTGATGGCTCCATTTGAGCGTTTGGAGACACTAGATGCACCTGATCCTGAAATATTTGTTGATTCTACTAATGAGAGTGATGCAGGATGTGTGTTAATTCCTTGTTCGAACGATGTGTTCTTTGAAGATTATGTCACGTTTTGGTGGTCACGAAAGTTCGAAGGCCTACGCCATCTGACTGCATACCTGGAGGATAAGGTGGAGGCACTAGTGATGAGTGCTCCACAACTGATTTGCATCACAGAGAGTTCTCTCTCAAACGTCAAGCTAGTGACGTTAAAGAAGCGCTTCTTGGGAGGCAACCCATGTTTTTCATAACTTTGTTTGTTTGTTTGTTTTGTGTGATTGCAGGAATTATGCTTCAATAAATAAATTGTGAGTTGAACGCTTTGACCCGATTTAAAAAAAAAACTGACTATGGATGATGTAAGTATATTTTTAAAACAATTTTATTCTTGTTTTCATCATTCCTCTTCACAAAATCTTTTCAAAACTCAAGTGTGAGGAAAGAACAAAATAAAATGTGCCTTTATTTCAAAACTTTGTGCATTAAAAAGAGACCTCGAGGGCGAGGTCCAGCTCAAGTGTGAGGAGGTTGCGTTTTATACTCAAAAGTTAAAACCTTGTTTTAGAACAATCTTTTTACTATTTTTGATATGAAACATTAATTTCTCAATTTCTTATCAATCACGTAATAGCTTAGAGAATCACTCTTATTATAAGAATTTACTTTTATTACTATTTTTAGAAAACTTGAAATTGTTATGGGTTTTTGGTTGCGAATGTGAGGGGCTAAATTTGTTTTAATTGGACATTCATTTTATTTATTAATACAAAAATGCTGTTGTTAATAAAACTCTTCAAAACTCATTGTTATAGGATAATTCCATCTCCGAAAAGGGGCTCTGTTTCATTCGTTAATCATAGTCTCTGAGAATGAAATATGCATTTACCATGGGATAACACCGCCAACAAGAGTGAAAAAAAGAGGCAAAACAAATTAATGAACAAAATGAATGTCCAAATTAGAATAATAAAAACGTTGGGATAATGAATTGATTGGCGGTTTAACATAATCAATAGTTTTTTTTAAGTAATAATAATTTTAAATTCTTGTATTTTGGGTGATTTTTCTAAAATTTTTAAAAATTGAGAATAAAAGAAGAGGGTTTTGTTTCTATTTCTTTAATAGCAACTCGATTGTAATACGGTCAGGTTTTACCTTTTTGAGTGTGTCTGCAACCGATTTGTCTCTTGAGGACAAGCAACGCTTAAGTGTGAGGAGATTGATAAGTCCATTTTTGTACTTACTTTTCTTATCAAATTTAAGTAATTTTTGGATTAAAAATATAAAAACAAGGCATGTTTTATATAGTTTGGTTCAAGTTTCATGAAATCAGGTAAAAATTACATTCATAACATATTTGACGAAATTTCGGGTCAATTGCGTGAAGAAAGTGACTGTTAGCCTGTACTATATTTTATGTAACATTTTATGTAACATTATATTTACGTTGTATTCATCCCATGCTGGTCGTGTATATCCTCATACTGGTAGCCGCATGAATAGCCTCACGTATAGCATCAATTTAGTTATCCTATCATGTATCTGGACTATATCAATAGCCCATACGTCCTACTAGATAGAATTTGTGTATAGTGAGGACTCTCTTGTACATAGCCTATTAATAGGCTCGTTGAATAAGATGAACACCACGGTGAATTTTATATTCCAACTTGGTATCAGAGCTTTCTTTTCCTCTTCCCCATTAATGGCTACCACCAAAGCTTCCGCCTTTCACCCCGCTCTTGCTATTTCCAACATTAAAAATTTCATTCCCATTACCTTAGACATCGAGAACGTTGAGTACTCCTCATGGGCGGAGCTGTTTAAAATTACCGCCCGTGCCTCCCAAGTTCTCGACCATATTATCCCTCCCGCTGCATCTTCCACTGGAAGTTCTTCTACCTCCACTACTGAGCTTACTCCTGAGCAACTTCTCGCTCAAGCCGCTGCCAAGGATGAGGCAGCCGCTCTCTGGACCCGTTTGGATGCCATAGTCCTTCGGTGGATATACGGTACAATATCTCACGATCTACTCCACACTATTATTGAACCCGACTCCACTGCGCAAGAGGCTTGGGAACGTCTTGACGATATCTTCCTCGACAATAAACGTTCCCGGGCGATGCACTTGGAGAATCTATTTTCAAACACACGTTTGGAAAATTTTCCAAACGGTTCTGCCTACTGCCGTTCTCTCAAGACATTGGCAAACCAATTGCACAATGTTGGCGCTACGGTCTCCAATGACCGACTGGTCCTTCGACTAGTCAATGGCCTCTCCGCCCAATACGACACGATTGCTTCTATTATTCAACAGACCGTCCCGTTGCTGACTAGAATGCCCGGTCTATGATAATTCTTGATGAAACCCGGAAGGCACATCAACTTGGCTCCCCCTCTCCCAGTGCTCTTCTCCATGGCTCGACACCTACCCCTGCTCCGCGTCCCAATCAACCCAGTCGTGGAGGCCGCGACTCTACTGCCCGGCGAGGGCGTGGTGGTGGCGGACGTGGTACCCCTCGGCCCAAACCTCCTCCTCCCAATGCTTGGACGTCCCCACCACCATGGGCCATGCCGCCATGTCCTTACCCTTCAAACCCATGGACTGGTCCGCCTCGCCCAAACTCTAGTGTCGACATTCTCGGCGCTCGCCCGCATCAGGCCCATGTCTCTGGCCCGACACCCTCTCTCACAGACGTGAACAGTGCCATGCATACCATGACGCTTACTCCACCGGATAACAATTGGTATATGGACACCAGGGCCACATCTCATATGATCAATGACTCAGGTACTCTCACATCTCTTTCTAATTTAGGTACTGAACAATTCATTATGATTGGTAATGGTAATACCATACCCATTTCGGGTCTTGGCCAAACCAACCTCTCCCCCCCTCATCCTACCCTCAAACTACAAAATGTTCTTCATGCCCCATCCCTCATTAAAAATCTTATTTCTGTTTGTCGTTTTTCTACTGATAACTCCGTGTCTGTTGAATTTGACCCTATTGGTTTTTCTGTAAAGGATCTACGCACGGGACAACAACTCATGAGGTGTAACAGTACGGGCGATCTCTACCCTCTCCAGCCCACCATTCCAAGATCATCTCACTCAGCATTTCTTACTACCTCGGCCGATACCTGGCATCACCGGCTACGCCATCCCGGGAATCCCGTTTTCAGTTTTCTTAGAACAAATAAATGTACTCCATGTACTCGTTTGCATAATTCTTTTTGTGATTCGTGTGAATTTGGCAAGTATACAAAATTGCCTTTTTCTTCCTCTGTTTCAGTTACTCATTATCCATTTGAAATAATACATAGTGACTTATGGACATCTCTCGTGCTCAGTTCTAATGGTCATCACTATTATTTAATTTGTGTTGATGATTACACTAAATTTGTTTGGGTTTTTCCTTTAACATCCAAATCTCACACGTTCACTACTTTTGTTAATTTTCATGCTTATGTTCAAACACAATTTTGCTTAATTCTCAAACGTAACATTAAAATTATTCAACGTGATAACGGCAAGGAATTTGATAATTTTGCTTTTCGTTCCTTTGGTCAAAAACATGGTATTCATTTCCGCTTCCTGTCCATACACATCTCCCCAAAATGGCTCGGCTGAACGTTATATCCGAACTATAAATACAATTGCACGGACTATATTTCTTCATGCCTCTATCCCCCCTCAGTTCTGGCCTCACGCCATTTATATGGCTACCTATCTACACAATATCCTTCCTAGCAAACCCCTCAAATTTCTCACCCCCACTCATCTGCTCTACCGCAAAACGCCAACATATGACCACCTTAAAATATTTGGGTGCCTCTGTTACCCTTAATAAACTTCAAGCCCGCTCTACACCGTGCGTTTTTCTTGGTTACCCTCTCAATCACAAAGGGTATAAATGCCTTGATCTTCGTACAAACCAAATACTCATATCCAGTCACGTCACGTTTGACGAAACCGTTCTACCATTTAAAACCAATACATCCTCTCCTGCACCCACATAATTTTTTGGATGACACAAATATCATGCACCGCCTCTTGCCGTACTTATCCGAAACAATCCTCCCAAACCAGTATTCGGTCAACACCGATTCCTTTGCCACTCATACAACTCCACCCCATATCATAGCCCATACGTCCTACTAGATAGAATTTGTGTATAGTGAGGACTCTCTTGTACATAGCCTATTAATAGGCTCGTTGAATAAGATGAACACCACGGTGGATTTTATATTCCAACTGTGACATTTTTTGCCAACAAATGAATTGCTACGGAAGTTTGCAAGATATATTGACAAATTGTTCAATGAGAAGAGTCAAAGAGAGGAAGAAATCATGCAAGGAAGCTCAAAAACCAAGAAGGGGTCGCCTATATGACTACTTTTGATGAAAATGGACGATGCATAAAGACACATGTTCGTATTTTGATCATAACTTGGCGCATGATTGCCCAAAGTTTGTGATACCAGTTGGATTACATTGACATCTTCTTGATATACAACTATTATTAAGAACACATAACCAAATAACAATCGTAGAATGGACATATTTCTCAAAGAAGTTAGACATTTGCAGTTGCGATGGAAAGTGACACGTGCTCACCGTTTTGCTCATATCTCATAAACTACAAATCCAGTGCATGTAACTCAAATCCCAGTAGTTAGCCAAGAAAGATATCTACAACTTTGTTGAAGACAACTTTTCCATTTGACGTAATGCGATCGACAAGTTGGCCGCCTTTCTGGGTGCCTACGAGTTTTTGACAGTTTTAGCACACCACACTTTGCATAACGACAAAATGATGGAAGACTGTCGACGAGGGACGGAGGCAGGCCGCCCTACATGGCCGCCCTACATGGCCGCCCTCCGTGGCTTCCTGCGGCGGGATGTGATGTTTGAGCTGCCGGTTTCTGAGACAAGACGGGAGGCGGCCACGGAGGACAGCCAATGGGCGCCTGCGACGGATTTGACGCGTACACGTAGCTTTGTTGGGGAAGTGACCGAAGGTTGCCGATCATGGCCGGAAGGCGGCCGCCCTTCCGGCTTTAAAAGCCCTCTTACATCCCCAACTCAAAACACACCATCTCACACCCAACTCAGATAAAAATGGGTGTCTTTTTCCTCCTCAAAGCTCAGATTTCCACCATTGTTGGACCTTCAACTTCAATCTTTCATATATTTTTCATTTTAGCTCCAATTTATAAGTTCTTTATATGAAAATTCATCTTCTCGTCATGTAGATTCTGAATATGTTTTTTTTCTTTCCAAATGTTTGTGAAACATTCTCTGCATTAATTTTAAGAATTTCTTATTTTCCATATTTATTCAAGAAAAACAGTTCTTGTTGTTATATTAATCTCCTACTTAGATAAACTCAATACCTAGTATAAATGATGTTTATTTGTGACAGAAACAAAAGTTTAGATGTTGGGAGTATTCACTTTAATATTTTATTTTGTTGTTATGATTTATGATCATGTCTTATTTTATATGTAAAGCGTTAAAACTAGTAATGAGTTGTTGTAGTTAATTTACTCTTGGGCATGAGTTGAATTAAAGAATATGGGTTGACCTTGTTTGACCGAAAATTAGGAGTTTAACTAATTTTATGGACTAGTTGTTTAAAATGATTAAGTTGATTACTTAATAGATTTGGTCATTTCATTAATTAAACTTTGGAAGATTATTTATAACTTGTCTATGAGATTATAAATAGTTTAAGCCAAATATATTGAGCACATTAATGAAGCCTATAGATAGGATAAATTAATGGATAGAATTTAATCTTTGTCTATGAGGAATAAAATTCAATTGTTTAATATGAGAAATATAATTAATTAATGAAGCCTAGAAATAGGATAAATTAGTGAAAGTAACTTAAATCTTGTCAATGAGAAAAGAAATTACTAGTCCAATCTTTAGTTACTCCTAATTATTAGGTCCAAGCTAAAAGGATGTACCCATATTTTATAATTCAATTCATTGCCCTTCTTTGATCAATCCATTTAGAGTTTAATATTATATTTTTCATTGAGTTTATTTTTGAGCCATTATTTGTATTTTGCATAATTTAATTTACTTTCTTTTTCAAAAATTAGTTTAGAAAATCAATCAAAACTTTTAATTTGGAAAGCTTCCAATAATTTTCGATAACCTGTGACTGGACTTATAATCAAGAAACTCCTCCGCCACTCCTCAAGAGACACGATACTCGGGGAAAAACCGAAAGGTTAGACTCCATTTTACTACAACGCCGTGTAAGCGGTAATCATTACCGGAAATTGACCGTGCACTTCAAGCGTTCCCGCAGGAGGAAACTTCTAGGGCAACTGCACATGGGAAGAACACTGTGGAGGACGTTCATGCTTTTGCCCTCTAGGTGGATCGCAGTTCTAAGAGCCGAGTAGAAATATCAGACCGTCCGCGACCTGTGTGTACTCACTGCAAGCAGAAGGGGCATGAAATCAGTTCATGCTTTAAATTGCACGGGTATCCAGACTGGTGGGAGGAATGCAACCGGAGCAAGGGAACACCGGTTGGCCGTGGAGGGACGGTTCGGACACATGCTGTGACAACCACCCTGCTGCCAGCGACTGAAGGATCGTCTGCTTCGAGTATGGGAAATAACGGCTTGACTAACTTGACAACCGAGCAGGTGCAGGCTCTCTTGAATTTAATACATGCTGATACTCGATCTAGTGACTGGATGTCGGGTACCTATTCTTCTCTTGAATGGATCATTGACACTAGGGCCTCACATCATGTTACAGGAGATGTCACGTGCCTTTTGAGCCCTGTTGGCATTCCGCGTGTCCGGTGGGACTGCCAGACGGACGTACGGTGGCTGCGGTTTTGACCGACCGAGTCATTTTGGCCAAGGATCTTATTCTTGATAATGTTCTTTATGTGTCAGGACTTCATTGCCATCTTATTTCAGTATCACAGTTAACAGACCAATCTAATTGTCTTGTCACCTTTACTAATAATCTTGTGCTATACAGGACCTACTCTCGAGAACCTGATTGGAGCAGGTGAACGGCGGGATGGGCTCTTTTATTTTAGACGGGTGTCGGTTTTGCACAATGTTCACACATCTGCAGCTGTGTCGGAGTTTGAATTATGGCATCGCTGGTTGGGTCATCCTTCTGATCGGGTCCATAAATTATTACCTGCGTTTGTTTCCAGTTCTTCTTAGAAAAAATTGAATAAGGCTTGTGAAGTGTGTCCGCAGGCGAAGCAAGTTCGTGACTCTTTTCCCAGTAGTGATAATAAAGCAAGTAGGATCCTTGAACTTATTCATTATGATTTATGGGGACCGTATAAAACCCCATCTACTTGTGATGCAATTTATTTTCTTACTCTTATGGATCATTTCTCCCGTGCTGTGTGGGTTTATTTATTACGTGACAAAAAGGAGGTTCAACAATTTTCCCTCTCATTTATTGCTATGGTTGAGAAACAATATGCCTTATCTATCAACATTGTGCATAGTGATAATGTGACCGAATTTAAATGTATGCTGCCTTATTTTGATGCACGTGGTATTATATTTCAAACTTCCTGCGTCCATACACCCCAGCAAAACGGGAGAGTGGAGCACGAACACCGTCACATTTTAAATGTGGCATGTGCACTAATATTCCAGGCTAATGTACGCGTTCGTTTGTGGGGAGAATGTGTTCTTACCACTGTTCATTAATATGACCCCGTCCGCTCTTCTGGTTGGTAAGACACCATTCGAGCTTCTTAATGGTGTTTCCCCCGATTTTTCTCACTTACGGGTGTTTGGTTGACTGTGATTTGCTCACAATGTTAAATGTTGTGAAAATAAATTCTTTCCACGTAGCCGTTGTGGTGTTTTTGTGGGTTACCCTCATGGTAAGAAGGGGTGGAAAGTGTTTGACTGGATCACAGGAGAAATATTCGTTTCCAGGGATGTGATTTTTCATGAGAGTGAGTTTCCATTTCTGGCCTCACTTCCGTTATCTTCAGATTCAGCCATGCCTGCCCTCACTTCAACAGATATGTCCCCGGTGATATTTGATCCTGATCCAGTAGTGGTACAACAAGCCGAGGAAGGGGTTACTTTGGCCAATACTTCCTCAGTTTCGTCTTCACAGGTTACCGAGGCTGCCCCATCGGGCATCGATACTCTTGGTAGGGGCTTACGTTCCAAGCATCCACCGGTCCTATTACGAGACTTTGTCACGCACCATGTCCGCACTTTGAACCATCCTCGTCGTCTACCTCTTCTGTCTGTTCCTCAGGTACACCTTATCCTCTGACTAATTATGTAAAATGTGACAAATTTTCGATTGGTCATCGTACTTTTCTTGGAGCAGTACTTGCAGGCCGTGAACCTCTCTCATTTAAAGAGGCTATGACCGATGATGCTTGGCATGATGCTATGCAAAGTGAAATTCAGGCCCTTGAAAATAATCACACTTGGGTCATGGAGCCACTTCCGTTGGGTAAGAAAGCGCTTGGGTGCGAATGGATTTTTAAAATTAAATATCATTCTGGTGGCATTATTGAACGTTACAAAGCACACCTTGTTTTCTTTGGTAATCATCAGCAAGAAGGCATTGATTACACCGAGACATTTGCTCCTGTAGCCAAAATGGTTACAGACCACATATTTTTAGCTGTTGTTGCGGCTAAGAACTGGGAACTCCATCAAATGGATGTTCACAACGCATTTCTTCATGGGGACTTGCAGGAGGAGGTTTATATGAGACTTCCTCCGGGATTTGTTGCTTCTCGGCCGGGCCAGGTCTGCCGATTGAAAAAGTCTTTATATGGCTTGCGTCAAGTGCCCCGATGTTGGTTTGCTAAGTTGGCTTCTGCTATAAAGAATTATGGTTTTCTGCAGTCTTATTCTGACTACTCTCTTTTCACAATGCGGCGAGGAACTGTCCATTTGTACATTCTTATTTATGTTGATGACCTAATTATAGCAGGCAATGATCCGAGAGCTATCTCTCAATTTAAATCCTATTTGCATAAATGCTTTCATATGAAGGATCTCAGTGTTCTCAAATATTTTCTTGGAATCGAGGTGGTTCATAGTTCTGATGGTATTTTTCTTTGCCAACGCAAATATACTCTGGATATTATCTCTGAAATAGGTCTTCTAGGGGCTAAACCCGCAGGTTTTCCTATGGAGGAAAATCACGCACTGGCTCTTTCTCAAAGTGACATTCTAGCTGATCCGGAATCTTATCGACGTCTAATTGGTCGCTTGATATCTCTCTCTTTTACCCGACCATATTTGGCTTATGTTGTTCATATCCTATCTTAGTTTATGCAGGCACCTCGTCAGGATTGGTTGGCAGCTTTGCGGGTTGTCCGCTATCTCAAAGGCACTCCAAGCCAGGGGATTTATCTTTGCTCTACATGTGATTTCGGTCTTACTGGTTGGTGTGACTCGGATTGGGCTAGCTGTTCCCTTACTCGACGTTCTCTTACAGGTTGGATGATCATTCTTGGGGTCTGTCCTATCTCCTGGAAAACCAAGAAACAACACACAGTCTCTCGTTCCTCTACCGAAGCTGAATACAGATCCATGGCCGCTACCACAACTAAATTAAATTGGGTTCAGGGCCTTCTCTTTACTCTCGGTGTCCCTCACACTCGCCCTATGTCCCTGGTCTGTGATAGTCGCTCTGCTTTGCATATTGCCCATATCCCGTCTTCCATGAGCGCACGAAGCACATGGAGGTGGACTGTCATTACCTCCGAGATGCCATCAAGGACGGCTTGCTTATCGCCCGTCATGTCTCTACCACCGGATATCTTCTCTAAGGCTTTGGGCAAACGTCAGTTTCTTTACTTACTTCGCAAGTTGGGCATTTCGAACCGCATGCTCCAACTTGAGGGTGGTGTTAGCAGACTACATGGGCTTCGCCCATTTGTATTTAGCTAGACATGTTTATATGGGCTAAGGGCTTACTTTAGGTAGAGGCTTAACCCTTTTTATTGTAATTACTTTGTATAAATACCCTAACCATCTAATGAATATACGAACGGATTCGTTACCTTAAACACTTCGTATTATTGCATTGTACATATCCTCCGCTCGTAGCATCTACCAACCGCAACTTTGCGCAAACTGTGCACACCAAATTGTTTTTGTCTATGACACAAACAATTTTTTTTACCGGTATGGAAAACGGTTCTCATCACAAAACAAAAAAATGTCTGTGCACAGACAATGTGACCGAGATATAAAATGTGGTGTACCACTAGCGTTAGGTCTGGACTTTGGAATCAAGAATCGAAGAACAGATCTGGGCAGTTATAACCCGGTTCGATTTGATTCCATCATTTATTAGTTAGTCCCTCTATCCCATTGAGAGGTTTCCGTTTCGGTTTATGATGTTTGACTACCGATAGGGTAACTTGATCCCTGTTCACA